GTTACTGCCCCCCCCCCNCCCCCCCCCCCCTTTCTTTCACCCAGTCCAAGCTGACCAGCCAGGATCCGACGGAGTCGATGATGGACTGTTCACGGACAAAGAGCGAATGTTTCAATGCTTCCTGTACATTCGGGACCCAAACAATTCCTCTGAACCAGACAGCAACCACTACGCTATGCCCATCAGCATTTCTCCGGTCATCAGCGCCGAGACGATGAAAGTCACCAGAATTGACTTCCTTCCCACCGGCGCAGATGCTACCGTCAAGGAGCCAGCGCCATATAAGGTGCAGCCAGCCAATGAGTACATCCCAGAAGCCCAGGACCTCAGAACAGATATCAAGCCACTCAATGTCATCCAGCCAGAAGGAGTTTCGTTCCAAGTCACCAACTTCAGTGAACAGGGCCACTCCATTGCCTGGCAAAAGTGGGAGCTCAAGATCGGGTTCAATCAGAGAGAAGGAATGGTTCTCTACGACGTGCACTACGCCGGTCGACCTCTCTTCTACAGACTCTCCCTCTCTGACATGAACATTCCCTATGCTGATCCCCGCCACCCATACCACAAGAAGGCAGCCTTCGATCTTGGCGATGCCGGCGCCGGTATCATGGCCAATAACCTGCAACTCGGATGCGATTGCCTGGGATCCATTTACTACCTCTCGGCGGTCTTGAATAACGACAAGGGGGAACCTCTGGAGATGCCAAACTGTGTCTGTATTCATGAGCAGGATGCAGGAATTGGCTGGAAGCATACAAACTACCGCACTGGTCGGGCTGCTGTTGTGCGAAGCAGAGAATTGGTCCTCCAATCCATCATTACGGTCTCGAACTACGAGTACATTCTCGCTTTCCAATTCAACCAGGCCGGAGAGCTCATGTACGAGGTACGCGCGACAGGTATCCTCTCCACTCAGCCCATTGACGAGGGCATCTCCGTCCCATGGGGCACAGTCGTGCATCCGGGAGTTCTGGCAGCTCACCACCAACACATCTTCTCCCTCCGTGTCGACCCCATGATCGACGGCCCGCTGAACCGGGTCGTCTACGACGAAGCACACCCCATGCCACGCTCTGACTTCAACCCGCACGGCGTGGGCTACACCGTCACCGAGACGCCCATCACCACATCCGGCGGCTACGACCTCGACGTCGACGCAAACCGCATCTTCAAGATCCAGAACGCCGGCGTCAAGAATCCCGTCAACGGCAAGCCCGTCTCCTACAAGATCTCGGCGCCCCCATTCCAGAAGATGCTGGCCGACCGGGAGAGCTTCCACCACAAGCGAGCCGAGTTCGCCGACCACAACATCTACGTCACGGCGTACCGCGAGGACGAGCTGTATGCCGGCGGTAAGTACACGAACCAGTCGCGCGGCGGGACCGGGGTGCGCAGCTTTGCGGCGCGCCAGGACCGCGTCCTCGACGAGGACCTGGTCGTCTGGGTGCAGTTCGGCATGAACCACGTCCCGCGCATCGAGGACTTTCCCGTCATGCCGTGCGAGGTCATGAAGGTGCACTTCAAGCCCGTCAACTTCTTTGATCGGAACCCGGCTCTGGACGTCCCGCAGAGCGCGCAGAGCCTGAACCAGAGCCGACTGCTGGGGGTGGAGCATAAGCAGGAGGTGGGCACGGCCGTGGTGAGGGGTGGGGATGTGTGTTGTGTGAAGGAGAGCAGCAAGCTATAGGTGGGAAGCTGGTTTGGCCAGGCGTTTGGGTTTTGGGTTCTAGGTTTAGTCTTGGGGGTCTGGGTTGGGGTTTTTAAAATACCCGGGGAGTTGGGAAGTAGCGCCGCTAGCTAGTGTATGTATCGTAGCTTAAAAGCATCGAAAAAAGCATAGAAAAAAGTGCATAAAAAATCGTCGATCGCCTTCAGAACCGCCCTGCCTTGCCCTGCTCTGCTCTGCTCTGCTTTGCTTTATTTTTCTTTGCATTACTTTGCTTCACCTTCCTTTGGCCTCCTCCGCTCTCCTCTCCTCTCCTCTCCTCTCCTCTCCTCTCCTCTCCTCTCTCCTCTCCTCTCCTCCACTCTCCTCTCCTCCACTCTCTTCCTTCCCAAAGCGAAGCCAAGAAAATCGATAAATATAAAGTATAAAAGTACGTAAGTAAGTAACGTACGTAAGTGAACAAGCAGATAAAGGCAGAGGCAGGGGCAGACAGATACAAAAGCAGATACTTATTCAAGTAGGAACCCACTCCTTTTTCTTTTCCTTTTCTTCTTTTCTCTTTTCGACTTGGCTTGACTTGACTTGACTTGACTTGAAATCACTCACCTACTCTCTTGGATGAATTCAAATTTGCAGCCTTTTTTTCTCTTTCTTTTTAATGGAAGGTTTGAAGTGCGAAGGTAGCGGCAAACTTTCTCTCTATCTATCTGTCCCTTGATCCGTGAGATCTCTGTAGGTTTAGCTAGGTACGAGCAGTGAGTTTTCTGCAAGTGTGTTTGTTTTGCTGTCGTTCCCTGCTGCTGCCTTGGTGTCCTTTCGCGTTCTCTGTGCTGCGTAGTTGCCCATACCCGCACCCATACCTATACTCGTACTCATACTCATACCCGTAGATGGCAGGTAGCCGCCAGACAGGATAGTGTTATATCCCGGATCGTGATCGGGACCGCCGCCAAATACCTGCTGCTCGTAGAGATCCCCGTGCCCAAAACCCGGCTGACCTCCAGCACCACCACTCGCAAAGTCCTGCCGGCCGTAGCCACGATCGCCCGGGCGACGAGACGCGGTACCCACGTCCCGTCCCGTGTTCAATGGCGCGGGGGAAAGTCCCTCGGCGAAGCCTTGCTGCACTGGAGCGTCTGTGAGGCTCTCCTCGTGAGACACTCCCGGCATCGACCCGCCTCCAGAGCGATCACGCTGCTGCCCATACGGACGCCTGTCGTAACCCGCGTGGCCGCTCATGTCCGCGTTCGCGGCGCCTCCTTGCCTGTAGCCAAGCCCCGAATCGGCTCGGTATCTGGCTCTGCGCACTCACCATGTGTCCATGAAGGCGGTCATGGCGGTGCTCGGCGCCCTGAACTCCGCGTTCGCCGTGGCGTCGCGTACTGCCCTCTCTGGCGCTCGAAATCCCGATTATAGAGAAGGTTGTCCGCCGTGGCCGGGAAGGGGCTCTCGCCGAACTCGGAGATGGGTATGTCCCTGGTGGTGCGGATGATGCGCAGCTGCTCGTGGAACCCCCGCCGTCTTATCGAAATCGCCCGGGTCCGGCACAGCCGTCGCCTCCGACATGGCCTCGGAGGGCTGGCCGTGGCCGTGGTCGTGGTGTGACGCTTCTTCGGGTCTGGGTAATCCATAGGGGAAACTTGTGTAGATCCCAGGCGAAGGTGATCGTAGAGCGTTGCTGTTGTACCGAGCTCGTTTTGCGGGCTCGTCGTCTGACGGTAACAGGTCTCGGGCCCTCTTGAAGCGTCCATCGTGGCCAGAGGATCTAACTTGACCGTCGAGTGGCCGGTTCTGGAGGTCATGATTTTCCTCCGTGGCACCTGACCACTGTTTTGCAACCATCTGCATCGTGCGTTCCTGCTCTGCCGTCGTAGGTACTGGAGCCGCAGAGAATATCATCTCGTTGGACCTCCGTGGATAGATATCTGCTCGGCTGGAAGTAAGTGCCGTAACAGCGTTATGTGAAGCGTAAATGTTGCGCATGCCATCAGCTTGAACATCTCTCCTCGCGCCCGTAGACATCGCATCGTGACTGGACGCTGGCCGCAACATATCTTCTTTTTCTTCTTCCTCCCCGTGATAAAAATCATTGTCGTTCTCGTGATGCTCCGTTGTGATCCTCGAATTGGCGACGGTTGTTGGTGCGCTGTCGAGCCGTGGATGGATGCTATGCGGAAGAAGTAGACGGCGTGTGCTCGGGAAAGCTGCATCGGGAGCAGAACCAGAGGATGGATTCGGCTATTGGCCTCGTCTGCTAGTCCCGGAAGCGAAATCAACAACGAAGAAGATACCCGGGTAGCGCTGAGCTCCATCGTTCGCTTCGAGCTTCGAACTCCTGCTCTTTGTTTATGATAAATTTCATCGAGGCCTCGCTCGTGTTTTGAGAGCTACTCAGCACGCACCAGAATTTTGATATCGAGGCGCAAGGGAGAGAAGGGAATCGAACAAGTGGAAGTTCCGTTTCGGTGATCGGGATCTGGAGTCTTGCTTCTGATACAAGCAGCATGTGCTGACTGCGCAGACTTATCGCGTTCGTCATCTCGGTTTTCTCTGAAGGATATTGCAGCTGGGTAATTGTGAAATTCATATTCCGGGGAGGAAGAGATCCGCGGGGACGAAACTGGCCTCCGAGGTATTCAGGGTCGCGCTTAGTAAACTCCCGCGTCCTGAATACCCGCGAATCGCGAATTTTGTTTTTCAACGAATAATCGCATTCCCTCGATTTTATTCACTTTCGCAAACAGATTCCGTTTGCTAATTGAATCGCATGATGTGATCGCGATTCGGCTGACTCATATTTGATAATGCCGTAGATATATTGTAGCCGTGTTGATTTAAGACTATGAACATCGAACCAATTACAGCGTTACAGCTCTATCTTTTAACTCTAAACGATTCATATATTAAAATAAATATATCAGCCCTAAGGTTAGCCGCGACTTCAAAATTAAAAGCAGTTATTGTAGAGAAGGGATTAATAATAGGACTTGACGTCGCAACTTTTGGGGCCTTTCTTTAAAGTGGGCGACAAGAAGATGCCTTCCGTCATATTTTTTATAGTATTACTCGTCTCATAAAAGATGATTGATCATTAAAATTTGACATTTCCATATTTAACCATAGCGCCGATCTACATAATCAATTTATAACACGCTAGCTTATTTATGTATTGATATATTCGAGAAACAAATTACGTACAGATTTGAAGAGTTGGGATTTTAGCCGTTCAAATCGGTCAAAAAAGTCGTGTAAACACGTATATATTTCGAGAGCAATAAAATCGCGACAATAAAATCAACTTTAAATACGAGATACCTTTGTAGCTAAGGGTCACGTCGACTAAATCTTTCGATTTTCATATCTATATTTAGATTCAGTGTTTGAGTTATTTACATGATAAACTGAAACTTCGCGATTCTTAGCGAGTTAGTTCTCAAGCTATTTTTGGTGTTCACGACGTGAGACATCTTTTTTTCCGAAGACATGTTATTTTTTTCTTCGCCCATTGTAAGGAAAGGCAACACAAGGTGCGATATCAAGCCTCATTATTAAGGATTGAAGAAAAAAATACCCGGAGATCAATCAATTTTCCATATTCTCCGGGGATGCAATTGGCAATTTTGGTGGTATCCCCAGATCGTGATCACAACAGCAATAACGTGCGTCACTTACCAAAGACTAAAACACACGTTTCGATTGCGACTCGCAGATCCAAATCTCGTTTTGAGGAGTTACCGAATACGCCTGAAGCACTCGGTGTCGAGTTAGATGGCAGAGAAGATCCGCGATAGGGCGTTGTGCTCTTAGATGACGGGCCTGTTTTGGTTAGTCTAAATGTCTCGTGAGTTGAGGAGCTTGTTCTCCTGTATTCGCTGTCAGGTTAAGTACTCTGAGGACACACGAAGACTGAGACCGTCTGACATTCCAGACGAAGTCGCCTGGCCTTCGGACAGAATTCACGCGAAAACATCAGATGAAAAATTTAGGAGTTTGTGGCACGTGTTATATTGGACTATGTGTAATCCGTCTCGTATGACATCTTACGTTATTTACATGAGCATCGATCATTTCTCCATGCCATTATAACACTCCACATCTTTCCCAAAAACCCGAGCTCGTCAACCTTGCTACACTATCCGTTGACTTTGCCCATACGAAGCTGCGAGCCCAGCCGCGCTCAGCCATCTCCGATGGAAATCTAGACAACGGCGCGGTTCTTGACGCTTCTCTTGTAGGTAGGAGCCTTGTCCATCGTGTACCCACCGGCTTGGGAGGTCGCCGGGGGGGCGCAGAGGGGAACGTTGAGCTTGTCGCCAACGGCGATGGCATCGGGGTTCTGGATCTGGGGGTTGGAGGCGACCAAGGCGGCCAAGGTGATGCCCAACTTGGTCTCGGCGATGATGGTGAGGGTGTCTCCCGATTTAACGGTGTAGGTAGGGTCACTGGTTTGGGAGCAGGTGGCTGTGACCGGGGGGGTCACCGGGAGCGCAGGAGCTTGACAAGCAGGGTTGGGGATGGAAATGCTTTGTCCGACGGCGATGAAGTTGACGTTGGTGATGGAGTTCACGTAGGCGAGCTGGTCAACAGTGACACCGTTGGCGGTGGCAATGGCACCCAGGGTGTCTCCAGAAACGACAATCACGGTCGAGACGATGTTGCAGTTGGTGCCGATCTGAGCGAAGACTGGCAGGATAGAGGCTGCTGCGGAGAGCAGGTAGAAAGAGTAGCGAGCCATTTTGGACGGTGTGAGTTTTGAAGATGAGAGTTGTCAACGAAGGTGATGTTGGATGTGGATGGGAGCGCAATTCTTCGCGGACTGGACAATGGTTAAGTAGCTGAGGATGGCAAGCCGTTGCCGCATATACATTGTGAGATAAGAGTTTGGCCTGAATTTTAAATCATCACCCATGTCCAAGTACTTTTCCCAAAGAGGTCCGTCCGTTTTCCGAATTTCCGTATGTGACCGCTAGCCAGCAAGCAGCCTTAGGGATAAACCAAAACGCTTTCCGTAACCCCCACACAAGTGAACGTTCGGCCCAGCAATACGAACAGATTCTTTGTTGACGTTGACGTTACCCATCATCCACCTTGGGGAAGCGAATTCTGCCGGCGAAATCAAACCGACAGCCTGGGCCGGCACTCCGCAGAGATGTGGGATGCAACAACGTCATCATCTCTGGAACGAATGTAGTTATTACATAACAAGAGATTCTCGGTTCGAATATTGGCGAAAAATAAGAAAAGGATTCAATACGACAACCAGGGATTCGATATCCGGAGATTGCAGGAGATTCAAATTGCGACAGAGAACCTTTTCGAAGCTCGCTGGCACTGTACTCTGTCTGTACCCTACGGACTTCTAACCAGTTAAAAAAAAGTATTAATTTCGGACTACTCGGCCTTACGGATTTCGATTAGCTTTATTGTTGCTTAGGCTTTGAAAGTGTGAAGTCTGTCGCACCGCTCTCCGTACGCTCCACACTCGCCAGAGTGGATTGGTTGTGAGTACATACGTAGTACGTAGTAGGAGGGGGATGGTAGGATGCGATCCTGGATGTTAACTCCGTAGCTATTCGCAATACTACCCCTAAATACATGTCGGACCCAGTTTAGCCCCATAAATAGCACAGCGGTGGTTTCTAAATGGCTCCAAGCCTTGTCTAACTTCTTGCACAGACTAAATACTCGCTCAAAGATGCTTTTCAAGGCTGAATTGCTATAAGTCTATTGGTTCAAGCCCTGGTAAGAGCCCTTGCAAAATTATATTTTCGACATGTACTACGTACTACGTATAGTACTACGTACTACGTACGTAGTATTTCGGGGGACGGGGTTTGGGGTTACTTAGTAGTAGCTATTCGAAATTCGTACTAGTACCGTAGTCCGGCTGGTCGGGCTGAATAGTGATACCTCGGCGAGAGAGAATTCTGGTCCTATTTTAGAGCAACCAGTTCTTTTCTCCGTGCTAGGTACCGGTAGTTGTACACTGATCTTGACCCGAGCCCTGCACTTACTGCGCCCCCAGTTATTAATTCATGCGTCGCAAATCTTACCAAGACCTGCAGAAATGCAGGGCGGGAAGGTCTTATTTCTCGCTTAAGATGGCGCATCATTAAACGTAAACACCAAGGTATCTGTCCTCTCCTTGAGTCGCGTGCCAGGGCGCATCACATAGTGGTACGGAGTGGTAGGTAGGTAGTTGTCCGTAGATGTTGTACAGAAGTGCATACAGAATCCTCAGAATCTCAAATAGTTGTATCAGCAGGGTAGATGGGTCCTGAATCTTGATGCGACTTCTTCAGGGATGAACGTGGTTGTGATTTGACGTGTTCACGGAGACATATCCGGCTGCCCTCTGATTGAATCCTCCTACGTTGTACTTTGCACCGTACTTCCTGGTTCATGGATCTCATTTACGCACTCTTCAAGAGTTACCCAGTAAATAGACAATTATATTTGCCGTCTTCTAAGTACGGCATTCACTTTCCCCGAACGCTTCTCGAGATCTCAAGACCGTTTGCCAGCTTGGTAAGAGCAAATCTAGGCATTACCCTCTCCCAGCGCAACAGACCAGTTCCAGATGGAAGCGCAGGGCCCAGGAGTAGGCGGAGCATCGTTACAGTCAACTGCCCACAGGTGCCATCGAACCAGATCAAACCAAACCCCGACCAAATCGTCTTCGTCAATAGGCAGCCAAGGGGCGATCCGTCTCACCCAAGCAACAGAATCCTTAACGGCGACAGAAAAGTCGCTGGTACCGTCTATACCACCTCTCCTAACTTGAACTTTCAAAGTCGATCAAGTGCAACACCAGCAGCTCGGCGCGCTAGGTACACCGGGTTTTTGCGCTCTCGATCCTCTCTCTTCGCTTTCTCTCTGCCTTCCGATTTTTCTGCTCTCTTCTCTACATCGTTTGGTTCTCTTACTCGGCTGCTACCTGCAATTGTGGGCGTCGATTGGTGATTCAGATTAAAGATCATTGACCCGCCTCGATTCGTCGGTGCAATGCTTTCAGTATTGAAGCGAATGATCGAGTTTAGCACCGATATCTCACTACTTCATTGCCGTTCTACTGCGCATTCACCTCCACGCAACGCTACTCTACTCTCCACTCTACAGAGGGTGAAGAGAGAGAGAGAGAGAGAGAGAGAGAGAGAGAGAAACCAATCTCCCGACTGTAACTCATGATATCCTGGAGCCATCGAGAGGCAAAACCAACTAAACACGACAGGTAAGATATCAATAAGTTGCGGTGTCCTTCTCGAGGATCAGTAAGTACACGTTATGTGAGAAGCATGCGGCATCCCAGCTAGAAGGATTCCGGTCCCTCTCAAATCAAGTCCTGCTGTAGATCTTCAGATCACCATTTCCCTCCGGTAATCTACGCTAGGGAACAATATGGGACGAAGATATGAGCCCACCGCTCCATGTAGACCCTCATCTGCCCTTTCATTCATCCTACAGCCTCGGCGAATGTCCGCAACTCTGCCCATTCCAAGCCGGACGCAAGTCCCACCCCACAGCCCCCCGATCGCGAGGCCACGATATATACCACGGACACCTTTCTCTTCTTCAAAGCAGCATTCATTTGCGGATCCCAGCCGCTCAGCTCAATCTTCCCCGCGAAACGCACCGCGAATCATCGCGCCCGTCTCATCTTCTCCAACCGCTTCTCCTACTGTTTAACAGTTCAGCGATTCCCTATACGTCGTCGTCTTTATCATGTCATAATCAGCATGAGACCGTGACCTCCTTCCCTCCCTCGCACTCTATCCGCAGTCAAGAGCAAGTTCGTGATCGGCTCAGCTGGGTAGACTTTGATTGATGAAGATAGCATGCATCTCTTTTTTTTCTCTTTTTTTTTCTTTCAACTCGTCGCTCCCGCGGCTTATTTCACCGCAAGCACCTTGCAAGTAGCGATCCCCGTTCATTCCCCTTCACACCACACCTCCCCTCTTGGCCATGGGGAAAAAAGAACATGTGTCCGTCAGCTAGTTAGTTCGTGGACGCTACCCAGTCTGTTTCTCTTGCAAGGGATCTCGGGAAGTACAGAGACTCTCCTTCATTGTCCACTGCAACGGCGTCTCTCTGCGGGCCTCGCTTGGTACTCTGTGCTGCTAGTATCTTACGCTCCTGCGTGCTTGGAAAACCTGTGTGTGTGTTCTGAAGGGACTCGGTGAGGTGGGTTCTCCTTGCTGATTTCTGGAGTCTCATGTAAAGCCTCGAATGCTTGGATGTGAGACTGCCTCTGCCTTTCTCTTTGACGTGGATCCAGCTCAGCTCGGCTCAGCTCAGCTCAGCTCAGAGACAGAGAGAGAGAGAGAGAGAGAGAGAGAAAGCCGGTCTTCGGTCATATGTCTTTAGCAACCACAATAAGACAATTCCCTTGATCTTGTTTCGTAATGCGTAATGCCTACCAAGCTCTTCACTCTCAATGGTAAGACAAGGCGTTGAAGGAATCCGCTCAACAAAGCTCCCTTTATTCAAACTTTCTGAGAGGGGAATTTTTTTTTTCTTTCTATTATTATTATTATTATTGTAATTTTATTATTATATTTTTTTCCTATGATTTTATTATTATTTTTCTATTATCATTATTATTATTATTATTAATTTTTTTTTGGAATTTTTTTCAAGTTTTTCGAGTTTTTTTGGGGGAAGTTAGCCGAGAGGTAGATATGTAGCCAGCCTCTCAGCTGTATTCAAACCCTTCCTTCTATCCAACTCCTCCTCCTCCTCAGCAGTGAGTGAGTGAGGTCGATTCCTCTCCATATATATGTGCTCCTCCCTTCTCTTCAGCAGCACGTCCGTACCGCCTCCGTACGGACGCGGATATCACACTTCTCCATCTCCATCTCGACATCCAAATCCGCGTTCGAAATATCTCCCTCCCTTTCTCTCAGCATAGCGTAGCCGCAGCCACAGCCGGGCAATACCTCGTGATAGCCGCCGTCGGCACGCGTACGTAGATGCAGGCCGGCAGCAGTCCTTTAATGCTTACTCGGTCGTGGATCTGGGCAACTGCTATTGCCAACACTTTGGCATCTGGGTGAGCGTCTACTGGTACTCATTCACTCACTCACTCACTCACTCGGTTAATACGTAAGCATCTGGACAACCAACGACTTCCTCCCTCTAAAGATTTGATCATCTTGTTTTTATCAGTTCAGCGCTCTGCCGGCAGTGACATTTTCTCGGTAGTTCCCAGTCACGATCACGATCACTATCTCGGTTAGCCACCTCTGCTTATAATTATCATTATCTTATACGCATATATATATGTGTGTATGTGTGTGTGTATGTGTGTGTGTGTGTGTGTGTGTGTGTGTGTGTGTGTGCTTTGTGTGTATCTATGATAATCACTTACGCCTCCTCTCTACAAAGCCAGCATCATCAACATCAAGCCTCGCTCGCACACCATTCCATCTCATTCATGACCCGCCTCCCCCGAAAACCCCACTCATACATACTCCCATCCTCCTACCACGTATCTACGGCCAAAGCTTTCCCGTACCTCGACATCAGCAGAGCATGATTTTCGCAAGCCTCACCACCCCCCACCCCCAAAACCGAAGACCGCTCTACGCTAGCCAATCCTTTCCCTCGCTGCACGCACGCACGTGGAGTAAAGATAAAAAGAGCCCGGGCCGTACAGTAGGAAATCGCAGATCGAGGAGCCGTAGATAGATACCTAGGTAGGTATCAGAAATTAGCGGACGCAGAAAGTCTAATTGA